GGGCTACTACATCAGGAGGAAGATGGTGAAGTGGAAACAGGAAGGTGGGTCATCCCTCAGTTTGACACCATCCTGACAACTCAAGGCTGGCCTGCCCCCTGCCACCTTGCACCCCAACATCTATGCCTTCAACAGCCGCATGAAGGGACAGCCCCTGGACCTCTTCATACCCCATCTGTTGGACCTCGAGCCCTTCCTGTCTCTAACCTTCACAGAATGGGAGGGGGGTCCTCACACTGCAGACTGTAGTCTGTAGGGGGCAGTAGTGGCTTCTTAGGGGCAGTAGTGGCTTGTGGAGGTCCAGTCTGGAAGCCAGGCCTCCTTGTCCCAGGCACCCCCAGCCTAGCACTTCCAGACTCTGTTCCACCTGCTTCTGAACAGCTAGATCTCAGGGAAGAGGAAACCTCGTGTGGGTCGTAACAGTGTCATTTAGGGGTCCCTGGGGTAGGGGGTGTCAGCGTTTGTCTAGTACGCTTCCCTGTAGGAGAGACCCACCCTCATTCCAAGTGCACAGGTAGCTCACCATCAAAGGCCTAGCCTATCCCCAGCCACCACGATGCCCCAAGTGGAGGAGACGCAGTCAGGGCTGCCCATCAACAACGTCCCCGCTGTCTGGGGACACAGCCACATAGGCCGGGAAGCAGTTCAGACAAGATGGAACCCTGAGACACGTGAGCACCTGGGTCCAGCCGGATCTGAGGCGGGACCAGCAGCATGCCCTCATTTTGGAGCCACCGAATCCCCTTTCGGCTGCGCGGTATTCCTGGAGCACCAGGGCTCCCTCAGGGCAGCCCGTCTATGCCATTTACTGCTGTGTTCCCAGGGCCCAGGGGACCCTGTGTTACGCACACGCTTGTGTGCTGATGCTCCGGGGCGGTGCATCTCGTTGCTGCCGCCCTGCGTGCAACATGGGGGCCGGGAGCAACATGCTTCCTCCACCCCCAGAATCCTGGACCACCCCCTCCGTGAGGCATTGGCAGGGGGCACTACTCAGCCTTACTTTTGTCCTAAGTCATCCTGGGGCTGTTCTCGGGGCCAAGGAGCCGACCCTGGGGGACACAGGGCCCTCTCTCCCAGAGTCACCCAGTGTCTGGTGGGGTCTGCACACAGCAGTGACTTACTACCTGTATGCTGGCTGGACCCCCTCCTTAGAAAAGAGGATCATAGGTCCCTGACCTATCAGGGGCCCAGACAGTAGCCCCTGCCAGGCCCACGAGTGCCCCCCCAGGCCCAAGCAGGCTCAGCCCAAGGAAGGCAGGCAGGGGCATCCTGGCCACCAGATGGCGCCTGATCCACACTCCCCTGCCTGGAACCAATCCTTCCAGGATCACTTACTGGCCGTGGCGCCCAGCCCCTTCCTGTGCCCCAGGCCGCATCTCTCAGCCCTGGGGCAGCGGGGAGGGCAGGGCCTGGACTCAGCTCAACTCTCCCCTGCCCCCCGCCCCCCACCAGAAAGCACACGCTGGCCTGAGGGGAGACCCTCGGGCCAGTGTCCACAGGAGGAATGGGAGTGGAGAAGCAGGGACTGCAAATCTGCTGCAGCCACAGGAGGAACCCAGCCACGCAGCAGAGTGAAAAAGACAGGTGTATTTGATTTACAATGAACAAGATTTACAAAAGGGGGTAGGGGTCAGGGTGGTCCCGGTGGAGCTGCTGCCAGACCCCTCCGACCTGGGCAGGGCCTCCAGCACGGCCCAGTCTTCTGGGTCCCCTCTGGCCACCTGGGCCTCGACGTCTGACGTCCAGCTTGACCTTTGAGGTGGGGCCCAGGGCACGGAGTCCACCCGGAGTGCCAGCGCCCCGCAGGGCAGGCCACGTGAGGTCAGGAAGGCTTCGTACCGTTGTTCTCCTCCAGTCCCGGCGGGGCAGACAGACACAGTCTGGGCGCGAGGCCCCGCGGGCCACAGGCAAGCAGACCCCACCCGAAGAGGCCAAACCCAGGAGTCTGAGGTGGCTGCTGGTGTTCAGACAGGGGGAGCTGAGGCCCCACTGCCCCCAGCGACCTGGCGCGGTGCCAGGGGCGTAAGGCACATTTGCGAATCGCGCGGGAGATGTGACACAGACAACACCTGATGCTGGTTCTGCGGGAGCTGGCGCTGGAGGGCGCACGGCACTATTGCTCAGGAGATAGATGCTACAGACGCGGAGGTAGGGGCTCCCCCGCTGCACCCACACGCGGATGCCCGGGGCTCTTCCCCTGCTGGTGAAGGGTAAGGGCCTTACCGCTCGGCCTCGTTTCTCAGGGGCTGCCCGACGCCTGACACGGAGCATCACGCACCTGTGCCCAGAGTCAGTGGTGGCAGAGGCCAGAGGTCAGAGATCTGTGACTTTGTTCTCCAGCGCAGCCGCGATCTGCTGGAGGCGGAAAGCCAGCTGCATCTTCTGGGCGGCAGGGTCCTCCTCCAGGGCGTTGATGATCTGCAGGTGGGCCGCGTCAGACCACACGCCAGGGAAGGGGGCTGCCTGGGTGCCGGCCCCCACCCCTGGCAGGACACCCCTCACCTCGTCATAGTACTTCTGCGTGTACTGGTACAGCTGGTGCAGGGCCACGAGGGTGTTCAGCGAGTCTGTGTGTGCCTGGGGGGTTGGGGGGGGGTGTCGGAGAGGGGCTGTGTGACCCCGCAGGTAGGAGGCTGTCCCCGGTGGAGGAAAGGGCCGACGTGTAGCACCCCAAGCACACACACATGTAGGAGGGTTACAGGTACGTGGGATGGCCGCAGACAGACATACGCTCTCACCCACAGACACACAGCAGTCAGGCCAGGTCAGCACGGCTCGCAAACCCCTTTCCTCGGGGCACACCCGGCCCCACCCTGCTTCTCCCTCCTGCAAGGGCAGTCTCCAGCGCCACTCAGCAGGGGGCTTTGGGGGAGGGGTGGGGTGCTCGGCCTGGATACGGTCAGTTGGCGCGCACACACCCTGCATCACCTTCTCTTACCCGAGAAATCTCCGCCAAGTGTGTGTTCATGTCCTGGTCGCTGACCTGCACCATCTGCCTGATCCCCTTGTAATAACTGCGGGAGAGCGGGCGTATGGTCAGGGAAGGGGTGGGGCAGCGGGTCCCAGTCACAGGCCGGAACCACCCCCAGGGGCCCCACTGGGTGGGGTCAAGGGTGGGTGCCCAGGGTCTAGCTGGGGGGACGGGAGCACTCACTCCTCCACCATCTTCTTGTAGGTGGAGATCTCCTTGGCGTAGAGAAGCTTGTTGCTGGGAGAGTCCTGTGGGGGGTCGGAGCCAAGAGATGCCTGAGTCGTGACAGAGCCGAGCTCGCCCCCACCCAGGACACCCACGGAACAGAGAACTGGAGGTGTGGTGTGTGGGGGACAGAGGCCCAACAGGGGAGGAGCGTCCAGTGCTTTGGGTACCCACGCGAGGGGAAGGCGGGGAGGGCCCAGGCTCTGCCCCAGCAGCCCCCCGCCCCTCCAGGGCAGCACGGGGGCGCAGACTGGTCCACGTTGACCTCCAGAGCCCACAGGCCGTGACCCAGGCCCCCTACCTCCCACAGCCCCAGTTACCGTTCACTTGCCTTTCTCATGAGTTCGGGCCCCAAATGTACAAACCAACACCCCAAACTTCCCGGCACATCCCAAACGGACCTCGTCACCCGCATCACACCATGGCTTCCCCGGGCCACCCCCCACCCCCCACTACTCGACCCGGACCCTACAGAACTCCAGGGCCACGACCTAAATCTCCCCACCCCCGAAACTGCCCTCAGGGTCCACTCACGCGGCTCAGCTTGTGCTCTGTGCGTGTGCAGGCGTCCATGAAGGTCTGAGCGATGACTGACAGGGAAGCGTCCACCACCTCATGAACATGCACGTCAAAGATGAAATGGGGGTTCTTGAGAATGTTCACCCAGAACCGCAGTGGTAGACTGAGGCAGAGCAACAGGGAGTGAGGGGCTGCCGAGACCCTGGAGCAGGGCAGGCAGCAGCAGGGTGGAGGAGCCCCCACCTGTTGGTCTTCCAGATGTGGATGGTGTCCTCATCCTTAATGTCATGTTTCTCGGCCTGCTCGTCCAGAAAGTCGAAGAAATACTTAACAGCGGGCGGCACCGCATGCCCAGGTGCCAGAACGCTCTGGAAGAAGTTGTCCACAAACTGCTGCAGCGTGCCCTGCGGGGTTGGGGCAGTGTGTGTGTGGGGGGGGACTCAGCAGGGAGTGGGCGCTGGACTGTGTGACCGCCCCCCCACGTTGCTCCGCCCACCGGCCCCGCCCCCGGTGTGGCCATCCACACGTTGCCCCGCCCTGGCAGCGCCCACCTTGACAGAGAGCAGGCGGGTCAAGTATATCTCGGTGATGGCCTTGGTGCGTTCCTTCTCCTTCACGCTGCCCCGCTTGGACTTGCCCTCGTCCACCTCCTCCGCTGGCCGCACCAGGTGCCACACACGGTTCTCCTCCTCCAGGAGGGCATGGCCTGTGGGGAGGTGGCACTGAAGGCCAAGACTGGAGCTCAGTAGCCCCCCGCCCCTCCAGGGCAGCACGGGGTCGGGGGGTGGGGGGGCAGACTGGTCCACGTTGACCTCCAGAGCCCACAAGAGCACAGGCAAAAGGAAGGGACTCACGCTCTCCGGGTAGATCCGGCTGGCTGTCCTCAGGCTGTTGGGAGACTCCCACCGTGGACAGAATGAGAGTGGCTCCATCCCGGACCTGGGGCATGCAGTCATGAGAGCGGGCCCCTGGCTCCCCACCGAGGCTGGGGATGCGGCCCTCCCCCTGCCCAGCCGCCAGCACTCACGTTGTAGTGCATCAGGGTGTTGACCCGCTTCCACCGGCCCTCCCGCTGAGAGGTCAGGTCCAGGTCTGACAGGATCTGGGCTGTGGACCCAGGACGCCACTCTGGGAGGACACAGCCCAGCTCCTGGAACCCAGCCACACCCCACCCGGCTCCCTCTTGCTGTCCCTCCACCCCACCTGCCCACCCAGGGTCCCCAGGGCAGGACCCCGCCCCAGGGCACAGAGCTGGGTACACGAGGACCTTGCTCACCGAGGACCACGCTGTCAGCCTTAGGCCAACGAGAGCAAGGCTGCGTACGGTACACCTGATCGATGATCTTCTCCTTGACCTGGGAGATGGTGTCACAGTTGAGGACCTTTACCGGGACAGCATCGGCGCCTTCGTCCTGAACGATCACGCTCACCGTCTGCCGGGGGACGTGGGGTGAAGAGCCAGTGTGGGGGGCCTCTCTTTTGCCCACCGGTGTGGGAACAGCCTCGGGCACCCCCGTGGTCACACCCTCAGGTGCCCCTAGAGCGGCCTGACCTGGCCTTTCCTCACAAGCCCTGGCTCAGCAGGACAGAGAGCATCACTAGCCACGCGCCACCTCTCGTGTGCACATAGGCTCACCACCAGGCACACCTGGACGCCCCACACAGGGCTGCAGGGGACCCAGGTGCCCGGGAGGCAGGTGACTCGGGACACTCGGAGCCTCTCTGCAGGGACACCTTTGGGGCCCAATACCCACGGAGGGTGCACAACCCCCACCCCTGAACTCAGGTGGGCCCGTGCGAGTCTGTGAATGGCATCCAGCGTCTGCTCCTGAGGCGGCCCAGGCCCCCCAGCCGCAGTGCTCACCAGGGGTGCATACTCCACATCATCCCCCAGCAGCCCCGTATCGTTGAGGGTGTATTTGGCCTTCTTCTGCACAGCGTCCACTGGCCCCTTCTCCACCTGATGCTTGATGGCCTTGAAAAGCTTATATAGGGGCTCGCCGGCACTGTCCTGGAGAGCAAAGGGCAGCTCAGCCACGGGTGAGACTGGAGATGCCCCCTGGGCAGGTGGATGTTTGGGGGGAGGTCGGGGAGAGCACCCCCTCACTCCTGCCCCGACCCTGGCCAGGCCGCTTAAACCCACCTTGAGGTACTGGTATAGGCAGATAGACATCCAATTGGACAGCATCCTTTCCACCACCGTCTCGGACCTGAAGGTACAAAGAGATGTTTCCTGAGGGTTCCCTTACTGCCCCAGGGCCCAGCCGGCTCCTCCAGGCACCCACACACCCCTATCCAGGCCCTGGGTCCCTGACAGAAAGCCAGGGACGCCACCCCTGCCGTCCCTCCGCTCTCCCTACCTGCACTGGCTACATCTGCTGACAAACTGGATACTGGACTCAGCCGGTGCCACCCCACAACCCTCCACCTCCACCTCCCACCTGGCG